CGCAGCTCGCCCGCTGGGGTGCATGGGGCCAGGCACTGCGCCTTGCTGGCCAGACAGCGCCGTTTTCTGCCCTGGCTGGAGTCCTCAGTGCCGCCTGGGCAGCAATGGGTTGGGGCAGGAGGACCCGGGTGGCTGAGGGAGCGCCGCCGCAGCCAGCGCTGCCAAGGTCACCCCCAGCTCAGGAACAGGAGCCCAAAGACAAACGGAAAAATCCAAGTTAGACGTGACGATCGCACACGGCTCAGCCTCAGGCAAGGAATAACCTTGCAAACTATTTAAACCTTCCCTTCCTCATCCCCCCCATCAAGTGCCTATTAAAAATAAATAATTAAAGGAACAAAACATGGCTGTTGCCATATGAAGAAGCGTTCAGACTTCTGAGTTGCAGAGTGTCTGTGTCACACAGCTGAGCGAGTGCACCATGGGCACACTCAGCGAGGGGCTCAGGGGGCAAGCACCCACCCTGCCAGGCTGGCTCTGGGGTTCGGTGCGAGGTTTGGGAGCTGCTGGGGAGCCATCAGAGCACCAGGGATGCAAAAAACAAGAACAACCTCACTTTGATATGTCCATCTGTGCACACATATACAATGTAAATAATGATTATATTATAATGTATAATAGAATTATTGCAAATAATTGAAATATTTATAGGTAACAATACATGCATTATATGTAATATGTATATGTGTATAAAGTATGCATTACAAGAATAATTAAACAGCATTTATGATTATACTTACGTATTGTATGTTGAGTGATTATATTTGTATATGACTGTAATACTTAATAGCCATTTGGTTTATGTGCGTCTACATATGTGTGTTTCACAACATCGTATTTATTATATAAACACACACATACCCCCCAACATAAAAGAGGGAGCACCTTCCCTTCCTGCAATGTTGAGCTTTGCCACAGTCTGACGTGGCTTAGCAGCTAACGGCGAAGTGCCCCTACCGGCGCTGCTTGCTCCGGCCTTCGGAGCGTGGCGGGCACTCTGCCTGGGCTGTGGGTATTCCACGCTACGGAGCCACCACTGGCCCCGTCCCTGGTGACCCACGTGAAGCTGTTGAGTTTCTCCTTCCAGTGGAACAAAACTGAGCTTCAGTGATAGGGAGGTTTCCTTCCAGAGATTGCTATGCACCACAGATTGGGTTGTTTACCAGCTGGAAGATTAAACAGATTTCCATCGAAGGGAAAAAAATTATGTAAGTGTTTTCAAGTATGTCTTGGAAGCGGTGTCTCGCTTGAAGGAGGCTTTTCAGACTTGCTTGTGTTTGCTGGCTGGCACTTCACTTGTCCCTGGTAAGGATGCTGCATCTTGCACAAAGTAGAGTTTCTGGAAAAATACTGCATTAGGATGGAGACAGGGCAGTGAAGCGGGGGGTCAGAAGAAGAAAATTAAATGCTTTGACTATCCCTGAAAACACCCCCCTGCTCCCATCTCCCATCTCTCTCTATAGCTGGTGACA